AGAGAGAGAGCGAGAGGGAGAGGGAGAGAGAGAGAGAGAGAGAGAGGGCAGGACAGGGAAGGAAAGGGACGGACAGGAAAGGACAAGAAAGGAAGACCGCTCTGATGAAGTTTCAGTTCTAATCAGTTATCTGGCTGGAATGCAAACAGCCTGCAGGATCACAGCTGTCTGAGTTCACCACAGCCCAGTTCTTTTCACACAATAATAATTCTCCCAAGGGCACTGAATAAACACTATGTATCTCGCATGCATGGTTCCATCTAAAATTTTCTTCCTGTGTCACCAAATCTGTCGGTCATCTCAACCTGTCAAGGTTGTAGGATGTCTCTTAATAAGTGATGCTACAGCAAAGTTTCTGATTTTTATTTTTATTTAATCAATTCAAAATGCCAGTTAATGTTAGAAAGCAATATGCACAACTAACCTGCCGATGCCCCCAACAGGGAACTCTGAGAACCTTTGTGATGTCAAACCAATGTTATTCCCTTCCACCTGAGGCTAGCCAAATGTCATGGGCTGTCATGTGAAACTAGTTTTGAAACCCATTTTGTGATATATAGAAAACAGATCTCTTCCCATCCGCAAGTTATCATTTTTACTGGGTGTCACTTTCAAAGACATGAACTCAGCTGTATGACAAATAGAAACTATAATTTCCATTTTGTGGGTCCAAGGAAGGGACCATAGTCACTAGCTTTTTTTCTTACTTTATTGACAATCCCACAGGAGTAAGTACGGTAGGTAAAGTCGTAGATATCATTTGGCCAGGAAGTGGACACAGGGCAGCCAATTCCTAAAAACACTTCGTCAGGATCCATAAATATATTGGGAAATAGTGTGGCCTTAATCCTGAGATAGAACCAGTGATTGGTGCATTGCAGACGAAAGGCTAAGAAATAGAAAGGAGAATATTTCTGTTAATAGGCTGTATGTGAATCATCACAGAACATTTGAGCAGAGCTAGTTAATGCAAGTGCTCATCCCTTAACAAAATAAAACATGTTGTAGAGAGAAGCGAGTCTGTAAAAGATGGGCATTTGCTATTATTTCATCCCTAAGATACTCATATACACTCCTATCTACCAAAGATATTTTTAGCAAGTCTGTCATAGGAGAGAGCAATACAAATTCAAAACACTTTAATCCTTTAATTCCATTCTCAGAAGTCAATATTTTTCTTAGGACAAGTCTCATTACATAGCTCTGAATGGCCTGGAACTCTCTATGTAGACCAATCTGGCCTTGAACTCAGATCTGGTTATGCCTCCCAAGTGCTGAAATTAAAGGTGAGCACCACCATGCCCAGCCTCAAAGTCAAGATTTTATACAGCTGGGACACAAGAACATATTTCTATTATAAGACAATGTGAAGTACAGAGCATGACTGCACTCTTGATCAACTCATGCTCCTCTACACTAGCCCTTGTTTTCATTTCTATATCCACAGCCTCATGGTATAAAAAAAGCAAACATGGAAGGGTTGATATAGCAATAAACACTGGTCAAGAGCACTACAACCAACTTGTTATGCCATTTGGTGGCATATCCTTGGGAAGCCAACTTTTTTTTCAAAGAGAAACAGAGGAGGAATGGATCTGGGAGAGAGGGAAGGTAGGAAGAGGGACCAAGAGGGGTGGAAGGAGGGGAAATATCTCTAATACTGAGCAAAGTCAAGCTGTAGAATGAACTATAAATAAAACTTTAGATGCCTGTAAACCATACCTCTGCTTCCGTAAAGCTAAAGTAAAATTATGAAATATGCAGAGGGATGAATAGTTAGTAAGCTTCCATGTGGATAGAAGGAAGGCACTGAGCTCCCACAGGGACTCCCATTCTAACTGAAATTTCACTCTGGTCCTAACTTAAGCAAGGAAAGCAAATCAGCATGTATTTAATAAGTCTACAAGATGAGGTAGTGGATACTAACGTGATTGCTTAGAGCTGTCTTCTTTATATAGCTCCTAATAAAAAGAAATAAAATACATTAACCAACACACTAGAAGTCTTGCAACTTCCCTAGCATCAAGACTGGGGTATTTTGATGAACAAATTTGGTTAAAAAAATACCTAACATTTGTTGCAATTCTAAACTGTCAAACTAAGAGTTTGCACTCATATTTAGGTGACCAACCATTCAAGTTTACTTAAAGTAGGAGACTTGATGGCACTCAAACTGAAGAAACTGGATCAGTTAGCCACCTTACCACAGGGAGCTGCTGGCCTTCCCTCTCAGATCCTGTGGCTCTCTCTATAAAGGATAAGGCCAATGAAGACTAAGCCCTTTCCTACATGCCACAGGTATCCTGAGATCCTTATTTATTTATTTACTTACTTACTTATTGGTTGGTTGGTTGGTTGGTTTTTGAGACACGGTTTCTCTACCTAGTCCTGGATGTCCTGGAACTTGAGTTGTATACCAAGCTGGCCTTGAACTTAGAAATAAAGGCATGCACCACCATACCCAGAGAGTCCTAAGCTCTTAGCAGCTCATGAACACCTCTGTGCTTTCCAGGCCACTCCAATTTCCTCATATATAACTCACCTCAAGTATTGAACCCCCAGAATGTGATGTGATCTGGGAAGGATCAAAAGAAAAGGGGAACTGCAGAAAGAAAGAACTCAAGTTAGGACAGTGTCTAGTCTCGGTAGAAGGGTGAGATTCTAAGATCATGCATCTGGAAGAGACCAATACATATGAAACAGTCTAAAAGCCTCACCCCTAGCACATGTTAAGACATCCCAAATTCTCCAAGTCACATGTGATACCTGACCAATCATCAGCACAAGTCCTCATAAAGAATAGAAGCAGAAGGAATCCCTGCAGGCCCGGGAAAGACTTCATTGCTCAGTCTGGAGATTAAACCCCACAGAGGAAAGGAGAAACAGGACAAGTCAAAGGCCTTCTTATATGCTGGCATAGATCCTCAGCTGGTAGTAATTAACTAGCATCTTTTACAGCACACATGTGCCACTAATACACCATCAGTTCATCATCTAAAATATAACGCTTTCTTTAGGGATTAAAGAACTAGAGTGAACATGATAGAAAACCTGCCACTGGAGTGCTCCCATAGCACACTTGAAACTTCCACATAGCTCTCAGCCATGCCTGCTGAGATGGGAGCTCTGCAGGTGATACAGAGGGAATAGAAAACTGACTCGCATCACAATCTGTGCCATTATGTACAGAGTGATCTTAAACACTAAGGTACACTTTGTTAAAACTCCCTACCATCCCAAAACATCTGGAGCTCATTATCTGAACACTAAAGGAGTAACTGTCTAAAATATAGTTGTCTTGTGTTGCTCAGAATGCAAAGACCCAAACACCTTGAGACCTCACTCCCTTCCACTCCAGTCCACCTCTAAGCAGCAGCTCTCAATCAGATTCACCTGCAGAGTATTCTTTTAACACATGATGGCTGAATTACAGCCATCCTTTTTTCTGATTCAGCAAGACAAGAGTGGGACAGTAAATTCACATTCTAAGCTCCCAAGTGACATTGATACTAATGCACTCAGAATTGTTGGGGTGCAAAGATTTGCCTTCACAGAGCATGTTGTACTGATACTCATTGGAATGGCTTGTTTGCAAACTTAAATATATCACCTGAATACCTTGCCAAAAAGCAAATTCTAATACAGAAGTGGGGGTCAGACCCGGTGATGCTGCAGTTGTAATAAACTCTCAAGTGATACCAATGATTCTCTACAATTACATTTCAAGTAGTAATGCCTGAAAGTAATGTATACAAAATTTAAATGTCTTTCTTCCAAACAAAAGGTGACAATTCTTCAAAGTGAGAAGTTAAAAAATCTCACTATGAAAAACAGCTTAAATGCATATTTGAGTTCTGGGAATATAGCTTAATGGTGGGAAACTTACCCACCTTTTGTGGGCCCAGAAGTTTGATTCCCAGCACCCACAAAACCCATATTCAAGCTCACCCTACTTTTCTGTTTCAGGATCATCAATTATTTGAGTTCAGAACTACATTCCACGATGATATAGCATGAAAGACAGAGGTACTGAAAGGTGAATGCAGCAGCTCATGACTGTCTTGCCTGAAATGTATTATTGCACTAATAATCTGTCCTAATAGAGGGCTAGGGTCGTAACTCAACTGGTAGACCAGTTGCCCAGCATACACAAATCTCTTAGTTTGAACCTCAGCACTTCATAAGTTATGAGTGACTATGCATGGACTACATGAGATGCTGTCTCAAACAAAATACACACACCAAAATAAATAAATAAATAACAGTTCTATAAGGTCACTCTACCATGAACTTCTTAAAGCTATATAGTCCATGTATTTTTTAATCTCCAGGACTTAGCAAATCTGTTGCAAAATAAGACATAAAGATGTAACAGTAAAGCTAGGCATCCGTGGCACATGCCTTTAATCCCAGCACTCAGGAGGCAGAGGCAGGCAGATCTCTGTGAGTTCGAGGGTAGCCTGGTCTACAGAGCAAGTGCTAGGATAGGCTCCAAAGCTACACAGAGAAACCCAGTCTCAAAATAACAAAAAAAATGTAACAGTAGAAAGAAATGTAACACTTATTTTATCACACAACGATTTCTTTTTTATATAATTTAAATTATTATTTATTAATTTAGGTTTTTTTTTCTTTATTAAAAAATGTATCTTCAAATAGCCCTTCCACTACACAAATAAGAACCTAGGGGAAAGTAAAGTTTTATATTTTTTAATTAATTAATCTTTCCCAGCCCTTTTCTAAAGGTTGGGGAGTTAGCTCAGTAGTAGAGCAGAGCACTTGCCTAGAAATCTTAAGGTCCTGGGTTCAGTCCCCAGCACTGGAAAAAAAATAATTTCTCAAATATTTTCAACTTGTAGTACAGGTACATATTTCAACTTGAAGAGCTTTTTATACTTGCTGCCAAATAAATGGACAAATCCCTCTCCTTCTGTAGTTACAGGTGTGCCCCCCAGCCGCCGCTGCTGCTGTGTGTGTGTGTGTGTGTGTGTGTGTGTGTGTGTGTGTGTGTGTGTTAGGAATCATTCAGTATGGAATACAATGCTATCAACTATAGTCTCCATTATGTATGTTACATCTCCAGATTTCATCATCTTAGATATCTGGGGGCTTGCACCCTGAGTCATCTCTCTCTTTCTCTCTCTCTCTCTCTCTCTCTCTCTCTCTCTCTCTCTCTCTCTCGGTTTTACCAGATAGATAGTAGATAGTAGATAGGGTTTCTCGGTGGAGCTTTGGAGTCTGTCCTAGAACTCAATCTGTAGACCAGGCTGGCCTCGAACTCACAGAGATCTGCTTGCCTCTGCCTCCCGAGTGCTGGGATTAAAGGTGTGCGCTAGGCTGGCCTGAAACTCACAGAGTTTGATTCTGCTTCCTGAGTTCTGAGATTATAGGTGTGTGTCACCACACCTGGCTCATAGGATTTCTTAAAATTACCTGGTTAACAGGACTCTGTCCCTTCTCTGCCTCAACATACTTAGTACTCAGGTTTTAGGTTTGCTATACTCGGTTTAACTTTTAAGTTATTGTGAAAAATTAGTGACATTTTCAAGTCTAACTATGTGATACCTCTCAAACTATGTCTGAAGTAGAAAAGAACTGAACACCATAGTATAGGAAGTTACAAGTTTGAAATACAGTTTTATTCTAGATATATGCAAAACCTCTTTTATGCCACAGAATCCTTTTCATTTATATTAAATTGTTTGTGCGATAAGTCATCAAGCACTTCTCTTAATAACTTTCCAGGGAATTTTCTACATGTACTTTTTATTGTTGGTTATATCAAAAATGTAACACTAGCATCCTGAGCTTACACAATAAATACTAGTGTAGAAAAACATGCTACTGGTGAAGGTAATAAACATCTTTATTGACATCCCTGAAGAAAATTTAAGATTTTTTGGTCTGGTGATTTGAATGAGAATGGCCCCTATAGGCTCATACATTTGAATGCTTGGTCCCCAATTGGTGGAACTGTCTGAGAAGGATTAAGAGGTTTGTCCTTATTGGAGGAGGTGTGGTCACTAGGGGCAGGCTCTGTGATTTCAACAGACCATTCTGAGTTCTCTCTCTCTCTCTCTCTCTCTCTCTCTCTCTCTCTCTCTCTCTCCCTCACATATGTACATTTTGTCTCGCCCGCTGAGCCATATCAAAGACCATTCTGAGTTCTCTCTCTCTCTCTCTCTCTCTCTCTCTCTCTCTTTCTCTTTCTCTC